GTTTTTCTGATGAGAAACCGGATGATTCCAGGGGGAAAAAGGCTAAAGGGCGATTCCACCTAATCTAGTATAAAAACTACATTAATAGACTGATCTAGTCAAACCTGGACTAGATTAGTCTCAACTAATAGCAGAATATTTTAATTCATGTTTGTGATTTGTAAAGCCTTTATCTGATTTGTGAAACTTCAATAAAGGACGATTTCAGACCCTTTTTCGCATCTTCAAAGCTGGACTGGATTTTTCTGCACCAAAAGTAGAATATATAAAACGATGGATGGGATTTGTGAAATTTCACTAAAGTTCAGATTACTATTCACACTCGTTTCATGCAGTTTTTTTTTCAAATTCAATTTAATTAAAAACAACTTTATTAATCCCAAATGATCTTAAATGTTTGTGTAAAAAAACTGCTTGGAAAAACCCCAGTGTGAACCGTAATCTGAACCTTGGTGAAGTTTCACAAATTAGGTACAGGTTTTATAAATCACAAACATGGTTTTGAATATTCTGCTATTAATTGAGACTAATCTAGTCCAGGTTTGATGTGTCAGGGTGTTTAACTAGAGCAGATTAAATATCCTAAAGGTAGTGAAAAATTAGATGGAATCGCCCTTTAGCCATTTCCAGACTGTCAGTGTTTCTTGATGGGAAATTAAGACACAAATAAAATGTAACACTATCTCACGTCCAGCCCTGGTCCTTGGTTTTGCCCTCAGCTGTGGTGAATGACATTGATACCTCGAGTCAGTAGAAATGTCTTCAGTTATTTTTAGATGGACATTTCTACCACAAGGGGAAGCAACAGCTTATAAGTTCAGAGGACACATAATTTCCTCTCTAACAAGTTTGTGTTTCACTTTGATTTGTTTTAAAGTGACACTAGCCAATACTTTACATAATTTCTTTACTTAAAATAAAGAAACGCATTGGCAAACAGAGACATCCTTCAATCAAAATCTATGACAGGTTATGAATATGAACATGAAATTAGGGGGAGCGGAGTTATGGAGGATTCATAATGAATTTATACCTCTGACGGGTCATAGCTATTGATTTCATTGATAAGGCAGATGTTAATAACATGTTGTAATTCTTTATCACTGCTCTGCACTGTCCTTGGTGAGCCTGAAAGTCAACCCCTACTGTTCTTTCGCAGGATGAACAATCTGATTCCTTTCCCCATTCTTTGTTCTTGGTCTAAAAGATGGCTGTCCTAGTGCTCTGAATGACTTTCCTCCTATCTTTGTACTCAACCAGAAAGACACCTTTTCCTGCTCTTTAGTGATGTAAAATGACTCGCTACCTTTGCTTTAGTTGTTGGCACTCAAGCAGAAAGACGGCTTTCTCCTGCTCTTTGGTGGTCTACCCAATTGGTATCCTCTCCCCCACTCTGATTCTTAATTTCCTCTCTAACAAGTTTGTGTTTCACTTTGATTTGTTTTAAAGTGACACTAGCCAATACTTTACATAATTTCTTTACTTAAAATAAAGAAACGCATTGGCAAACAGAGACATCCTTCAATCAAAATCTATGACAGGTTATGAATATGAACATGAAATTAGGGGGAGCGGAGTTATGGAGGATTCATAATGAATTTATACCTCTGACGGGTCATAGCTATTGATTTCATTGATAAGGCAGATGTTAATAACATGTTGTAATTCTTTATCATTGCTCTGCACTGTCCTTGGTCAGCCTGAAAGTCACCCCCTACTGTTCTTTCGCAGGATGAACAATCTGATTCTTTTCCCCATTCTTTTTTCTTGGTCTAAAAGATGGCTGTCCTAGTGCTCTGAATGACTTTCCTCCTATCTTTGTACTCAACCAGAAAGACACCTTTTCCTGCTCTTTAGTGATGTAAAATGACTCGCTACCTTTGCTCTTGTTGTTGGTACTCAACCAGAAAGACACCTTTTCCTGCTCTTTAGTGATGTAAAATGACTCGCTACCTTTGCTCTTGTTGTTGGTACTCAACCAGAAAGACACCTTTTCCTGCTCTTTAGTGATGTAAAATGACTCGCTACCTTTGCTTTAGTTGTTGGCACTCAAGCAGAAAGACGGCTTTCTCCTGCTCTTTAGTGGTCTACCCAATTGGTATCCTCTCCCCCACTCTGATTCTTAATTTCCTCTCTAACAAGTTTGTGTTTCACTTTGATTTGTTTTAAAGTGACACTAGCCAATACTTTACATAATTTCTTTACTTAAAATAAAGAAACGCATTGGCAAACAGAGACATCCTTCAATCAAAATGTATGACAGGTTATGAATATGAACATGAAATTAGGGGGAGCGGAGTTATGGAGGATTCATAATGAATTTATACCTCTGACGGGTCATAGCTATTGATTTCATTGATAAGGCAGATGTTAATAACATGTTGTAATTCTTTATCACTGCCCTGCACTGTCCTTGGTGAGCCTGAAAGTCACCCCTTCGCAGGATGAACAATCTGATTCTTTTCCCATTCTTTGTTCTTGGTCTAAAAAAGATGGCTGTCCTAGTGCTCTGAATGACTTTCCTCCTATCTTTGTACTCAACCAGAAAGACACCTTTTCCTGCTCTTTAGTGATGTAAAATGACTCGCTACCTTTGCTCTTGTTGTTGGTACTCAACCAGAAAGACACCTTTTCCTGCTCTTTAGTGATGTAAAATGACTCGCTACCTTTGCTTTAGTTGTTGGTACTCAAGTAGAAAGACGGCTTTCTCCTGCTCTTTAGTGGTCTACCCAATTGGTATCCTCCCCCACTCTGATTCTTAATTTCCTCTCTAACAAGTTTGTGTTTCACTTTGATTTGTTTTAAAGTGACACTAGCCAATACTTTACATAATTTCTTTACTTAAAATAAAGAAACGCATTGGCAAACAGAGACATCCTTCAATCAAAATCTATGACAGGTTATGAATATGAACATGAAATTAGGGGGAGCGGAGTTATGGAGGATTCATAATGAATTTATACCTCTGACGGGTCATAGCTATTGATTTCATTGATAAGGCAGATGTTAATAACATGTTGTAATTCTTTATCACTGCTCTGCACTGTCCTTGGTGAGCCTGAAAGTCACCCCCTACTGTTCTTTCGCAGGATGAACAATCTGATTCCTTTCCCCATTCTTTGTTCTTGGTCTAAAAGATGGCTGTCCTAGTGCTCTGAATGACTTTCCTCCTATCTTTGTACTCAACCAGAAAGACACCTTTTCCTGCTCTTTAGTGATGTAAAATGACTCGCTACCTTTGCTCTAGTTGTTGGTACTCAAGCAGAAAGACGGCTTTCTCCTGCTCTTTAGTAGTCTACCCAATTGGTATCCTCTCCCCCACTCTGATTCTTTGTACTTGGTCTAAAAGATGGCTGTCCCAGTGGCCTGAACAACTTGCCTTCTATCTTTGTACTCAGTCTGAAAGACGACCATCTCCTGCTCTTCTACCCAATCTTCAAACTCAGATTAAAGTAATTCTGCTACTAAAACACCGTCTTTCTGCTTGAGTACCAACAACTAGAGCAAAGGTAGCGAGTCATTTTACATCACTAAAGAGCAGGAAAAGGTGTCTTTCTGGTTGAGTACCAACAACAAGAGCAAAGGTAGCGAGTCATTTTACATCACTAAAGAGCAGGAAAAGGTGTCTTTCTGGTTGAGTACAAAGATAGGAGGAAAGTCATTCAGAGCACTAGGACAGCCATCTTTTAGACCAAGAACAAAGAATGGGGAAAAGAATCAGATTGTTCATTCTGTGAAAGAACAGTAGGGGGTGACTTTCAGGCTCACCAAGGACAGTGCAGGGCAGTGATAAAGAATTACAATGTGGAAGAAAGAAAGAGAGAAAGAAAGAGAAAGTAAGAAAAAAGAAAGAAGTAAAGAATGCATAGTACATAAGCTCATGTTTTCTGATGTTTTACAATGACATGAGATAATGCCTGTGTTAATTATCTGAAAAGATGCAGTTAAGTAAGTTATTTTTTTCTCTTTTTTTTGTCCTTAAAATAAGAATTTTTTACTTTGAAAAATAAGTTCTAGGCCTGACATTTTCTGGGGAGCTATTGATATTGTAGTTTCTATATATTTACTCATAAGTAATATTTTCTTAATATTAAGCTTTAATATGTTACTGTGCTCATCAAGTACAAAAACACTTAAAATAGGAAAAATATTGTAACATAGACCCTCTTAGTGAGAAAAAAAATTATTTGCCAGAAAGGAAACAAGCGCAAATCCCCTTAATTTAAGCTATATTAATCTTACAGAAATTTCAGTTTTTGCAGTGCATAAACAACAAACCAACTCCTACTGTAAAAATATATATATATTTAGTAGAGTTTTAAAATAGCATGGAAAAAATATTTAATAAAAACTACATTTTATAAATAAATCAATTGAAAACCATTACAATGCATTATATCAGAGCTGCAACTGCATAAGTCTATAACACTGTAATAACAATTAAAAATTAATAAAACAATACACTAGAAAAACTGATGGTAGAGAAATTATTAAAATAAAAATGTATTTAAAAATATTACATGCTGATTCATTCAGTGAATAATTTTTGCTTTTCCGCTGAAATAAAAGCAGATTATTTATATTAATATATTTAAATAAATGTTATGATGCAGTGATTACAACTTTTACGCTCTCAAACCTTAAGAATGTCATTGCGGGTCGTTCTCCTAGCAGAAATAAATATTTGTGTAATATTTCTGATTACTCCTGTACACGGTGTACCCTGTGAAGGAATCTCACACCGTAGACCGGATGAAGCAAGACTGTCTACACAATACTACAAATTAAAACATTTAATTGTTTAATAAAAACACATATACACGTCTTGTTTGGTTTTATAATACTTCCTCTTTGATGGTTTTCCCCATCTGTTCAATTAATGTCAATTAATTTGTGTATTTTGATCAAAAAAGAAGCTAAGTTCGGAGTAAAACGATCACAAAGTTACTTTTATTTTGACACTCCCTACCGGAAAGAGCGCTAACGCCATCTTGCTTGATACCGGCAGCTTTAAATAGGTAAATCCTCCGCCTCGCCGCGTCACAGGGATGCAGTTGCGGGATCCCGGCTGTTAAACCTGCTATTCACCACCACCTTCACCGGTACGTCCAATTTCAGTGAGTTGTTATTATTTTTAAACCAGTATTTAAATTGTGTATCACTCGGAAATGCAGCGGGAGTGACTTGACTCCTGGCGAATTAGCGCAATTGACTTTCAGTCTGTTATTCAGGATCAGCGCTGTGGGTTTAAATGTAGCCGCCTCACCTCGGCAGTTTGAATTGGTCGCGTTAATAATGCAGCTGCAGCAGTTGGCACATCTTGTTGCAGATTACCCGGCATTCTGGGTTAGTGAGCAGCTCTGATGTAATGACACCGCGCTGGCGAGTTGCATGCACCCGTGTGTGTGTGTGTGTGTGTGTGTGTGTGCGTGTGTGTGTGTGTGTGTGTGTGTGTGTGTGTGTGTGTGTGTGTGTGTGTGTGTGTGTGTGTGTGTGTGTGTGACTTTGATCAGTTTGATCATTTGGTGCGGAGCTAATTTCCTTTATGTGAAGGCAATCTAATCAATGATCGATATAATATAAATCATAATCTCCAAAAGTAGTCTGAAGTCCATGTTTCTTATCAATTATTGTTTCGCATTTTCGGTGCAAATTATAGTAAAAGGCTGAACTTTGACCCCCCAACTGCGAGAAGATGTGGAGGATCAGTTATTCAATCAGCTGATGTAACATGAGGGATTTGGCCTCCATGATGAGAAACTTTAACTGCAGGAGCCAACATGGGTTGCTGGTTGCATTTTTCATCGTCAACAATTACAGAAACCCAAATATTATTGTGAATTCTTTACACAACAACAAGTAAAACATGTAATATTTTACATTTCACTTGATGTTTATAATTGTTTAACTTTCTGGGCGTATTACTTTCCAGTTTATAGTTTATTCCCAGGAAAGAAGACTTTTCCTCCACAAACTTTGCTGTATTTATCTAAATATAACAGATGGGTGTGCCCAAGTCTGTGTTTGAGATGTTTGTAACATGGCTTATCAGATAAAAATAAATGTAGAAAATGATGTTGTACCTATCCTTTTCAGTTTTAAGAAAACATGAACCTACTCAGGAAAATATAATCCTAAAAAATTGCAGAAAGTGTCAGAGGGCCACATTTGTGCTATTCTTGAGTTGCAGTCAAAGATCACACCAAATGAATCCAATGATCACAAATGGCCCTCGGGCCACAGCTTGGACACCTTTGATCTAACAAACAAGATAATCTTATTCTGTCAAAGCCAACAGAACAAGAGTAACGCGAATAAAAAATAACATTACAGTGTAGAGAAAACACAAATACACCTCAGCTGGGTCCAGATGGCATTCCAGAACAGAGCTGGGCATCCGGATCCGCCTGTTCCGTCTCTTGCTGCCCCCAGCAGACCACGCCAGAAAAGATGGCTGATGCCACAATAGAGTCATTGAAGGGTCTCAGGCGCGGCCTCTGACCTGACTTGACCTGCCACTACAGGCCTCTGCAGTGGCTACATCAACCTGCTCCTGCCTTCAACTGCTTTATGTTATCAATTGTCATAAAGCAGTTTATTGTTCAATAAACCCAACAACCGTACCTTTGATGTTCAGTGGTTGCAGTGCAGAAGTCTACAGATTTATAATATCATTATTATAAATCTGCGTGCTTAACTTTGGTACTCTAGAACATTTTTAAGCCAGTATGATTTAAAGAAGTCAAAATTCAGTTAAAAAATACTGTATCATCCATCTGTCTTCCAAGATTTTTTGGTTTCCAGTAGCAGTCAGTCTGACACTGAATCTGAGGCAGCCTCTGACTGAAGAAGGTGGTTTCAAAATAAAAATATTTTTATTTATTGTGATTATTACTAGCAACATTTATTGCGACAGCGCTGCAAAGTAAAAAGAAAACAATGTTTAACTGTGATTAAACACACAAGACCAGTTTGATTAGCTACAAACCTGATTAATGCTGGATCTGTTGGACCTGTCTGACAGCATGAAGTAGACTGAAAAAGTAACTATCAGTGAGACTGTTTCTGATAACTGGGGATAAGTTTTGGAGGAAGTTTTAATTATTTTTTTTTTACAAAATTGTAGGTTGCATTGGCCATCTTACTTGAATATAAATTTGGGCTTTGAGTAGGCCACTTCAAAACTTCCTTTTATTTATTTATTTAGTTATTTTTAGCATTCAGAGGCGGACTGACTGGTCTGATCACACTAATACCACCGTGTTTGACTGTCAGTACGATGTTATTTCCAGTTTTATGCCACTTTAAAGTCTCTTCAGTCCACAAAATATTTTCCAAAACGTCTCAGACATCATAAGACGTTTTCTGGGGGACATTTGAGATGGTACTTTGTGTTCAGCCTCAGGTGATTTTCATTAAATTTTTTGTCTCTTTTATTGGTGAAAAGTGAGTTTTAGTAGAGTAAATTTAGCAATTTATTGTTTTGTGAAGTTATTGATGAACTTTTGTAGTAATTTTAGACAGATGGACACTACAGGAAATGTGTTTTTCAGTTTTCTCTAACATAATTACTCTGCTTCTCATATTTTCTTTAGGACGCCTTATTAATTCTCGACAACATCTAATCGACTTCATGTTTATCATTTATCAATTTTACGATAAATGATAAACGATGCGATAAATGATAAACGATGCGATAAATGCCCATTTCTCGTTTTTCCTCCACTCACTTCTCTCCTCTCTAATATTTTTCATTCCTTTTTATTTTATCCTTATTAGATTTTGTTGTCCTCTCTGTAGTTCTGTGTCCTTTATTGTTTATAGTTTCTTCCCTTGCTGATGTACTTCTATGTGTCCCTTCCTCCTTTCTTTTGTCTTTTATCCTTCCTCCCATCCTTGCTGCTTAATAAGGGCGTAGCGCCACACGCAGGAGAGATTAAATTATCTCCATGTCACAGATATGATCCTGAAAGTTACATGGTTTTCCACTCAGCAATTCAGGACATTGTAATTCATTGATATTTGATAAGATAAACACAATAAAGAGCAGATGCTTTCCAATGTCAGATAAGAGTTCAGGTTTGCAGTCATGTTCCTGCAATAAAGTACATTAACAAGATCTTACAGCTCTGACACCTTTGTGTCCTGAATACACAATTCCTGAAACTACAATCCTGAATAATCCCAGCGATTATTCAGGATTGTAGTTTAAAATGAAGCAGTTGTATTTCTTTTACACAGAAACAGGGATAAAGTTTGTTTACACGCTTTCACAATTTCACTTTATTCCTCGTGGAAATTCCCTAGAGATTTTGGTGACAAATGTTTTGAATTAAACAATTATTTGGTGCCAGACAAAGACATCATTTATCAATTTTAAATTTATGAGTTCATGTTTCCAGCGGGGGGAAAAAAAAACAACTTTCCAAACCACCACTGTTTATTTTGCATGTTTTAATTTTAGTGCTTGTGAAAACATCCTAAGTGCTTAAAATAAAATAACAGTTGTTTTTTTGGCAATAATTTAGTCCTTTTTGTCCTCAAAAACTTACCAATTCTTGTCATATTCCACACCCTAGCCAAGCCCAGCCCCGTTACCCAGCAACCTCAGCAGAGAGTTCCAGAAAGTTTGGTCAGTTGGTTTTACCGCTTTGTGCACTCTGTCATGGAAAAGATGTTGTTGTTGCAGACTTACCATTCAGAAATCACTTGCTGAGACTCTACTAAGCCTTTTCAAAGATGGAAGGTTGTATAATTGCAAATGTGTTTGCAGCCATTTTCATTTGTGAGGGTGTAAACATTGAGTCGAGGGGGGCGGGGATTATGTGGATTTAAAGTGACAGCTCCTATTCTGGAAGGAGCTCAAAATAGGTAGAATTGAGCTGACTAATTTAATCAAGATTGATTTTGTCCAAAAAGCCAACAAACATTTCTAATGAACAAATACCCAGCAGGAAACATCCCATGCAGTTTGTGGCCTAATTATTTAGTGTTTTTACTGCAGTGTGATTCAAAAGGCTGGTTTGCATTTTGTGCCATTAGTAAAGACATGACAAGAAACAAAAATAAGCTATCTTTATTTCCCAGGGAAGGACCACCAAAGATGGCATCTTCCTCAACATCGGACAACGCTCGCTTTCTGATGTTCTTCGACTTCGATGAGACGATCATCAGCGAGAACAGCGACGACACTGCGGTGAATCTCTTGCCAAACCAGCAGCTACCCCAGTGGCTCCTAGACAGCTACCGGGAGGGGCACTACCATGAGTTCTCAGGAAAGATAATGAGCTACTTTGCAGATCAGGGTATTACCAAGGACGCCCTGCTGTCGGCGGTGCAGAAGATCCCGCCCAATCCAGGCATGCTGGACCTCTTCCGCTTCCAGCAGAGCCACCAGGAGGACTTTGAGCTGGTGGTGGTCTCCGACGCCAACACCATTTTCATTGAGACATGGCTGGAGCACAACGGGCTGAGTCAACTTTTCCGGAGGGTCTTCACAAACCCCTCCCACTTTGATGACAACGGCCGACTCGTGCTCCAGCCGTTCCACTCGCACTCCTGCCCGCGTTGCCCCGACAACATGTGCAAGCAGGTGATTCTTCAGGAGTACATGGCATGCCGGGAGAAGGAGCGAGGCGGCGTCGGCTTCCAGAGGGTGTTTTATGCCGGCGACGGGTCCAACGACGTGTGCCCCACTCGGGCCCTGGGACCCCAGGACATCGCCTTCGCCAGGAAGGATTACCCCATGCATAAGCTGATGATGGAGATGCAGCAGTCAGAGTCCACCAAGTTGAAAGTAAACGTAGTTCCCTGGGTCACCGGGGCGGACATTGAGGACTATCTAGCAAAAATAATGAAGGAGAGATGACTTTTTCTGGGGTTTTTCTTTTTAAGTGTTAGGAAAGGTGAGAAAACATTTGCCATTTGCAGCAAATTTAGATGAAATCAACAGGACCTGATCACTACAATGATCAGTAATCAAAAACTGGACTTTTTACCTTTTGTTTTAGCTTTTGAAAATACTTTTTAAAATTTTAGGATAAAGGGAAACCAGATGTGCTTTTGAACATAATGTAAAGCTCCTGATTTAAAGCTATAGTATGTAACTTTTAGGAAAAAAATTGTTTTTCTACATATTTGTGAAAATTTTCATGTCGGGTCAATATAATATAAGACAGACAAGTGAAAAATTCTACTTTTTTTGCCTTCTCCCTGTACTAACTACAGAAGTAAGTTCGAAAACAACCATTGAGAAAATAGAGGTAGCACTGTCAGTCACTCTTGTGATAAGAAAGTGCTTGCTCTTTGCTAAACTATAGCTGGTTAACACAGCTTTCCACCTATGCTAAGGCTAGTTAGCATAGCCACCAATGACAGATAAATGGTGATTTCCACCATTAGCATGTTCAGCAGCCTACATGACGTTGATTGACAGCGCTAAGACCCGCCTCCTGGCTCTGATTGGTTGTTTTTGCAGCTCAGGGAGAATTATCAGTCTCATCAAGATGAGACACCTTTCATAAATATGGAGAAAACATATTTTTGTAAAAGTTACATACTGCAACATTAATAACCTCAAGAGTAAAAGCAGTTTTTTTTGTAAAAAACGTCATTTCTGACAGCAGGTGAGGTTTATCCAGCTTCAACGCCTTGTTGAAGGTTTGACAATGGTTACACGCGTCGGTTGTAGCGAGGGACAAAAGGCCGCGGCGGTTTCATCAGGCAGGGACACAGCAGGGATAACTTTGCAGATACTCAGGCACGGTACCAGAAACTTAATCTGGGGTTTGATATTTACAGCAGTAATTTACACTGGCGTGAAACACAACAGGAACACTGAAGAAATTCACTCCCTCTAGTCCCCCATGAAACAATGTAGGGCAAAGTGCAAAGTTTAGATATATTGGTCTATTTCCAAGTATTACATAAAGCCTACACAGTTATTGGTACCCCTGTAGGGATGTAAGAAAAATCCTTTTTTATTTTTAAAGTAAACAAAATCCTGAAACCAAATTAATCTATTGTAAGGGAGGCATAATCTCACACTAAAACTTTAAAAACAAATTTCCATTTCGATGCCTAAAAATAAGAGCTCATAAAATCTTTCTTTTTCTGCAAAAAAAAAAATTCCAAATGACATAAAATATTTTCAGAAAGTGACTTTTATTCCCATCATATGTTCTGTGAGTTGAATAATGCAGGCTACAAAAAGTTTGCTTTAATTACGAGAATATAGCTGCAATACAATTAGTATCTTTCAAAATTGTTATAGAACAAGGTTGTCTCTAACTTTATCACGAATCTCTGTCTCTCAACATGTTATCAGGTGATGAGCGTCTTAATCCCTTTTACTTCCTTTATTACGCCAGTGAATCATCAGCTCATCTTCCTTTCTTGAAATTGTTGGAAACTGCAAAAGCAAGTATTAGTTAAACTAATCTCATTCAATACTCAAGAAAAAACAACAACAGAAAATACACATGATCTTAAATAGAAAATGAAACACATGACCAGCATGAATTTAAATGCAAAGCTGGGGAGGCGATGGGACTGAAAACCAGCATCAGCGCCGGATGAGGAGTCTTGGCACAACGTGCAGGGAGGAGGAAGGCAAGGGAAGGACAAAATGTGCAAATCCTGCTGTTTAGAAAACTGTAGCAAAGAGAGGCTTCTTGACGTCATCAAATCTCAGCCATAGGATGGGAAAATTCAGTTTCTGTCCCACAAACGTAAGCTAATTTGTTAGAGTGCATGACATTGTGCATGTTTTAGAATATAATTTACATTTTTAATTAGGACTCAGATCAATGTACATGGTAGTTATAGGAATTCAGACCTAAATCCTGAAAAATACTTAAAAACTTTGGAGTGAACTGAAATGAGTATTTCGGGATTTTCTTTAAAAACTAAAATTTCCTTAAAACGCATTCAAAGGCTTTTTACACATCTCTAGCAGGGGTGCCAAAAACTTTTGGATATGAATAGTATTGGAGTGTTTTTGTTTTTTTGTCTTTTACAATATTCAATCTCATTGATCTGTTTTTAGTATTTTAATATGTTTGAAAACAGACAAAATGAGACCATTTTTAAATATTTTTTTCCCTTGTTTAAAACAATATTGCAGAATGTTGGTTCTTTCAAACCTCATCAGGTTTTAGATTGAATAAATAAAAGGGTTAACGTATTACTTTCATGCAGCTGTCATTTGACGCCATGCAGTGGAATATTTGTGAGCTTATTCATTTGAAAAAGACAATAAAAGAATACTATCACTGATCAACCATAACATTGTGATCAATTAATGGTCTTTACTGATTGAAACTGATTCCTATAGATCAACATTGATCTAAATGAGAGGATTCAAATATGTATGGATATTTTGCTGATCGGTAGTCATAATGTTATGCCTGATTGCCTTAAAAAAGTATTTAATGTGTTCAGTTTCTCAGGGAGAAGAGACAGGAAATAAGCAAAGATGATAATAATTACAATTAACAGAGTTGAAAACAGATTTTTCCATGCACTGTAAAAAATGTGAATTTTTTTTTACTGTCTGACATTAGAAGAGACTAAATGTTTTTTGTTTTCTGTCATTCAGGATAACCGAAATAATTTCTACTTGCAAAACGTCAAACTAGTGAGAAAATCAATTTATTTTATTAATATTTTCATAAAAGTCAGCTGTCTACACTCTGTAACAAACGGCTTCTGGTTGTGACATTATGGGGAAATTCTCCTAAAAATAAAAATGAAAATCAGGAAAACAGATTTGAACTTAAACAAGTTTGGTTCATATTTGGCTGCAATTTCCAGATGCCTGAAAGAAAATCACTATTTGTATCTGTTTAAACTGATATGCAAGGAAATAAACAACAGGGGAAATTCAGATTCAAATATTAAGACATTGTTTCTATGTTTGGCTTTGAACAAGTAATAAAATTCTCATTATTCTGGCATCTTGCAAATTAAAACTGTTTTTAAACAATTCTATGGGAATTGTTTCATTTAATATCAGTCAGAAATATTATAGGGCATGGAAAGATCTGGTTTCAACTATACATGTTTCATATATAGATTTTAATTTTTTGCACTGTCACAATAGCAAATCTAATTAATAAAAAGTGTTAGTGACTAATAAAATAGAGGCTAAATCATCACACTACAAAACAAACCTGAAATTCATTGTGATCAAATCTTACGAATACTCCTGAGGTCCGACTCTACCTTTGCGTGATGCTACGATTCCTACGAATTCACCAGCTTAGAGTAATTTAGCTGCTCCCTGTATCTTTTGTGCAATAATTAAGTGATGTGTATTTGATGTGCAAAGAAATAATCAGGAGAAAAACTTGACACCCGACACTTTCAGGGGAGCATATCGAGTCCAGTGCAGCAAAGTTTTAGTGACACGCTCCATAAAATGTTGTTTTCACTTTGTACAACCCTTTTCTTATTGTGCTGCTTGCTGTCTGCTGTACGCTTAATCTAAGGCGTTAATGCAATGTGTTAATGTGTCATTGTCACAGGAAGATAAAGCCATTCATTATCGGACTCTGTTTCTTCTGTGTGCTTTGTAACCGAGATGAACCGAAATTCAAAACGGTTCAAATGTTTGTGAAATTCTTTAATTTCATCGTAGTTTAAAGAAGAAAGAGCTGAAACAAGAACCAAATCTCCCAATTTAAGAGCCGCCATAATAATGAGATGTTATAAAATGTATAATTTCTTGAGCAGTCTTTGCGAAAGTTACTAAATAGATATTGTGTTTAATTGTTAGTATTTTTCCCAGTTAAATTACAGTTAAAAATTCAGGATTTGATTGCTACTTTTTCTTCTGCTTACTCATTAGAAATGTATACTTTCTACTAAAACATTTTTATTGAAATATTTCACTGAGTATTGGGGACACAAAGCAAGTATCCATGCTCCAAATTTACATTTACATTTTAAATAATTAAAGAAAACATTTCTGATCACGGGAAACACCAGGACTGTTTAGCTTTGCTTCTTTTACACCATGCAACACTTGCACTTTCAAAACCTTCAATTTATTCAAACTCATCCATTTAAAAAGGAGGAAATGATCTAATTCTTTTAACAGGTTATCAAAATAGTTCAAAAAGCTTTCAGAATAGTTTGGATATTTTGGTTTGTTTCAAAAGGAAACAATCCAGTGAGAGGAGCTGGCTGTACAGACCGTGTCTGTCTTCAGTTGAATGAAAGGAAGTGGCAGCCATTAGGCAGAAGGACGGCGAGCTTGAAGGACACAAAGATGATGCAGTCTTGGCCAAGTTGATGACAATTTGCTGTTGGTGCAGAAGTCCTGAAGTCAGAGGCGTCATCCAAAGCAGAAGTCAGCTGAAGTCAGCATGTTGCTCATCCACAGTCGGCTTGAGGTCAAAGTGAAGTCAAAGTGAAGACAGAAGATTGGAGGACAGAGTCCAGGCAAAAAAGCGGGTCAAGACGAGGTAAACGGCAGAAGTTTATGTCGGAAATAAACAAAATAATGTTTCTTAAATGATTAAAAGCCTGCGATTTTGATAATATTCACATTTCTACAGATTTTGTTGTTGCATTTTGAACCTGCTGCACTGTTGCTATAGAGTTGAGCATTTTGTCCACTAAAGGAATAAAAGTCCCTGATTTCTGAATAATTCAAAATCTTTAACTTACATGAATGAAACACAGTTGACCTGAACTCTTTTGAGTTGACATTTATTGACTTTGAAATACATTTTCTATTTAAAAAATAAAAATAAACAACTGACAGATTTGAACTGCAGGCAGGTCAGGTTGATCTTTCAACTCTTTAACTAAACAACAAAACCGCAAGGCTTCAAAATGAGACTTTAGTTCATTCTGGGACAATGAGGGCTTCCCAGATTTAGTTGTGCAGAAATGTTGGCTTTTGGCCATCTTTTGCACAGATTACAAGCTGGTAAATGAACCTGACCTTTGTTTGTACCCAAGACATTTCAGAGTCCACAATGCTTTGATTTTATAACCACAAAATTCAAATTAGCTCAGCAAAGTAGTAGATGATGATTCAATAAAAACTGTAAGTCAATTTGTATTTAGTCCTATTTGAATATTTATCAAACCAATCCCGGATAAAAAACCTGTTGGATGTTGCAAAAACGTCAATATTATTCTATCTATTTCTAAACTGAAAACGGTTCTTCCATTAAATTACCTAATTTCTTTTCAGGTGCCACAAGTTTGGTTCACATTTGGCTGCAGCCACATTTACACTGAATATGCTGCAAACGTCCAATTAACCAGCAGATGGCGCCAAATCTAAAGTCCCAATATAATCCAGTGGATTTGAACTTCTGTCTTCTTCCACCCTCTGCAAGACAACAAAGTGCTGCTGATGGAGATCATGAAACATCGCTCAGCATCTCTGATAGGCGTCGACAGAAGAGGCTCCAGGCTCTGATGACATAGAAAAGATGTCACGATGTGAGTTTGAGAAGCTGAAAAAGTCTCAGGAGTAATCTGACGACTCAGCGTTCTCAATAATCTGTCTCTTCTGTTTAAATCTCACAGATCATCACATTTGTTTGTTAATCCGCTGATCTGATTTGTCAACCTGACAGGATGGACTTTGTGAAAAAAGAAATAACATATATTTATGTGATTTTGCTTAAGTTTAATAATTGGAAACGATTATTTATCAATAATCCAACCAGAGTTGGTGAGAAAACCTCGTAGTTGCTAGTCTTCATCACTTTTAGGGTCTGAGGCAAACAATGTGCCAATAAATTCACATCCATGCTTTGACAGGAATCCTAATCGACAATATCTTGTGTTTTAATAACTTTATACGCCGTTTAAAACTAGTTTAATCAAACTTCCTGGCACCATGTTTAATTGCTGACAGGAAGTCGTGGTTGTTTTAAAGCAATCTGGTTGACTGATAAGTTTTAAGTTTCTGCTACACCGCCCCCTACAGGTTTGGCATGTTTAAAATTGCTCTGAGGAGCTGATTTTTTGAGGTTCTATTGGTTCAGGATTGGTTTTGGATTCTGAAACTTATCGTGTGTTTATGACAGTTTTTATTATTTATTTTTTATTATTTGAGTTATATAAACGCAGCAATGTGGACAAGGACTTAATGTAGGAAGGGGTCAGTTTTTTTCTGACTTTCATTTGTAACATGTTTTTAAAATTACAATTTTTGTTCTACATTTTATGAAAAAATATTTTCCACAAACTGTATAGCATAAGACTGAAAATTGGTGTAAAAATTGAGCTCTTCTGGTTTCTCTCAGTCTCCCAGAATTAACTAGAAAACAACCAATCAGAGCCAGAAGGCGAATCTTAGTGCTGCCAATCATCCTCTTTATGCTACTGCCAGCAGAGCCTGTTGTGAATGCTCGGGCTAGTTAGCATTACTGATGATGACAGATAAACAATTTTCTTGTAACAGTCGTTTCTCCATCATTAGCATATTTAGCAGCTAGTACATGTTGATGATTGACAGCACTAAGACCCTCCACTTGGCTCCGATTGGTTGTTTTTAGTGTATTTCTTAAGAAGACAATAGGTGGAGGGCATTAATCTTTTCACATTTTACTGTCACAAGATGGCAACAGTTTCAACAAATATGTAAAAAGCAGATTTAAAAACTTACATACTGCAGCTTTAAGCACTAGAATATGTTGATCTATCATATAAAATCATGATAAAGTTTATTTGTGTTTGTAGCATAATAAATAAAGCCCAACTTGCCCTTTACTGTCACTGTATCCAACTATTTGTTAATGTTCAATAGGAAGAACATACTACAATCTGCTCTGACCTCCAGAGAAAAGTGATCAATATATGACAAATTATACTGGAGTTTCTTCCCCAGCTTGTGTCACCATCTCAATTTTCACACAGAAGCTGATACAGCAGGGAACCGTTAGCTGCTGAGATGCCTTAAATCAGCATTGCTGTCTGATGATTGCTTTTATGGATAACCCCATCTACTCTCCTCTATTCAATTAGTCCACCCCGAGGTGAAAGATAACTCACTTAGGGCGAGCTTCAAGCCTGCAGGAGGTCATTTTGAATTATCGTGCCGATACACAATCAGGCTGATTACGGTTGGAGTTGTTTTCCGCCACTCCTCCCCGTTTGACTCCTCAGGTGATCGTTTAAGAACACAATGGCAGCCAAAAGTCAAATTTAATAGCTTTGACTGTGGCAGAGACAAACAGTCGGAAAGGATGATGGAAGAGTTGCCTGTCTGGCCTGGATTTTATCTCACGTCCTTGAGATAAGCTGCAGAGATAGGAAGGAATTCCTCTGTTTGAGGGTCACCAGCTGCAAAGAATACAATGCATAAATTTTATCAGCATGTCCTTGAGGAAGTCGAATATGAAGGGATAAATCCTCCCGTCTTTGTGAACCTGTGAATTCAGAAGTAATTGGGTGTGTGTGTGAGAAGAAGAGCTGAAGGTTAAAGCTGCAGTATGAATTTGTTTTAGTTTTCAGTATTCATTAAAACTGCCACCATGTTGTGACAGTAAGATATAAGACAGATAATCTGTGGAAAATGAGCTTATCTCTGTGTCACTGTTGTGATCTGAAAAAATGCAACACTTCTGGTCAAAAATGACCAATTAGAGTCAAGAAGAGGATGTCAATCATCCTCTTGTACGCTGCTCAATGTGCTAAAGGAGGAGAAACAATTTCCTGTTGCAGAAAAACTGTTTATCTGCTGTCATTGGTAGATATGCTAACTAGTCCAGAGGGCCGCATAAAATGTTACGGCGGGCCAAATTTGGCCCCCGTGCCTTGAGTTTGACACATGTGGTTTAAGAGTTTGCTCAGTCTTTGTCTTTAGCATACTTCAGCCAAATAAACAAGCCGATGGCATCAACGATATTAAAGTCAGAATTCTGATTTCTGATATTAACGTCAGAATTCAGAGATTAATGTCAGAACTGTTTTACTTTTTTCCAGTGGCCCTAATCTTCTTCTGTAAACATAGTCCTAAAACAATTAAGCTTAAGAATAAAACTAGACAAAAGAAAGACTATTTGTTTGTTGTATTAAACCCATTAATAAACCATCCTGTGATGTCTGACTTTCTCTCTCTCACACACAGAAAGTCAAACTCCTCCTTTCTTGATTCTCTCAGGGACTTTCAGCCAGTTTGTCTCCAGCTGCGTTCCTGTGGCTCTCAGAGAGGAGAAGGAAAAGGAGATGTCGATTTTAAAACTAAGGCACAACTTCTTTATGCTTCCTTGAGTATTTTAATGAGCAGTAAAAGCGGGGTGTCGACGCTGCTGCTGCTTTCGCCGGAGATTTTTGTGTGTGTGTGTTTTTTTTTTTTTTTTTTTTTTTTTTTTAAATTAGCGGTTAAATCAGCTGGACTTCCTGCATTCTGCCGGTTGGAAACGTTAAAACCCAACGATGCGCTTGGAAAAGGTGAGCAAGGCAAAAAAGTCTGTGAAATACCTAAGAAACCGCTGACAAATGACTCGGAGAACAAACGGTGAGTTAACAAAGAAATATAGATTTGTATTTCTAAAAATGTCACTTTGCTAGGAATCAGT